CCATCTCCATCTCGAAATTGAAGGCTTCTTTCTGCCGAGCTAGGGCATCTTCAAGCATCTTGTTCATTTGTTCGGCGCTGATCATGAGTACCTCGCGGGGTTGCCCTTCGCTAGATACCGTGTTTTCCGATGCAATTACAGAGCCGGCATCTGATCCTTCGTCTTCCGACGGTAATCTCGTCCGAACCCTACCATAGGTCCCTCGTGTAATGGTTCCGGACTGCAAATGAGTTAGATACCAGGGTACTAGCGGGATTAACTCGGGATTATCCCCCGTCGGTGCTCCTTTGCTGGCCATGTTGATGGTGACCTTCGGGAATTCTCCGTCTTTGACTATCCTTCTTCTTCGCTGGAAACGCCTAGGCTTAGTCTCAGACGTTCCGGTGGAGATTCTCTTGAACACCGAAACTCTCCTTGGAGCTTCAGAGCAACAGCATTCTGATAACACCGCCTTGATGATGTTAGCACACGGGCAGTGAGGCTCCGCGTCTCGTGCGTTTCGCTTCCAAGGCTTATTCGCACCCCCAGCTCTATAGTACAACTCATCAGTTTAATAACTGGAGCAACCTATAGAGTATTGGCACAATTTCCCAGGTATAACATCATCATCATCAGACGAATATGCTTCCTTCTGGGGATATGACGCTTTATTAGCGTTCTCAAAAGTCGCTCGTTCCAGTCTACGCTTTTGTGAGCGTAAAAACTTAACGGGCTCTTGAATTTCGACACGCAACCCGATGCGGTCGGCAATAGGGATTTTCCCTTTGATATTTTCCTGGGGGGAGTTAGAACGACCCCCAGTCGGGTTTATCATTTGGGGACCTTTCAACGGACCCAATCGCTCTTTGATAGGTACTTTACCTCGATTCCCCGGTAAGGGACCGAGGCGACCCTTCAAAGGGACCCTGGGTGTTGAAAGATCCGTGTTCATACCTGACTCCATCGGAGGTGCCGGGGTAAGGGGAACGGGACTTGGATTTGGTGAAGGTTGGGCAGCAACATCTTCAGCTCTCGTCTTAGGCGTTGGGTTCGCCTTCAGCATCCATACCTGCTTGAGCTTTGGCGGAGTCTTGACCGCCTCGGGCATGCGCGAGCAGTGCGCGGCGCTTCTTGATTCTCTCTTCGAGGGTGGAACGAGTCCTCGTGACACGAACCCATTTGTTCGTTTCTGCCTTGGAGGAGGAGTTGGTTACGTACCGTTGTTGCTCTTGGCGCTGTCTCGATTTGAGATTTTCGTTGTAGCGGACCCCATCCATAGGCTCCAAAGCCTTGGCCATCTGACGAGCAAGGTTTTGACGCCGTCTTTGGCGCGTTCTCTTTGATATAGCTGGAGCGCCTTCAGTAGCCATCTTCTTGGCGGAGGAGAAGCCCAGATCTGCGATCTCGACCACGTTGCGCTCTGCCCTTGGAAGTACTCTATCCAGCAGTTCAGCTTGCCTACAAGAAAGAACTCTCACTTCTTCCAGTGATGGTGGCTAACATTCACTGAGGACTTCGACAGCTTTCTGGTGCCTTTACACGGAAGGAAAAGGAATCGCCGACTCAGATTCCCACCCTTAAGACAGAGCTCCCGTACACTTACTTGATGGCTTGGTTTGTCCTTCACCGTCCCGATATGATGTCGGTACCGAGCGCCACAGATCATTCCGTTCCTTTACTACAATTGCTTGAGAACGGCAAGTGGGAGGGGCGCGGATTTTCTGACGTCAGGCAGCAGCTGCAGGTCCACAAGTGTTGGACATTTTCCACTTGCTTTCCGCAGTTCTCCGGCCGATACGGCGATAGTTTGACAGATGAGGAGAGGCCGAGAGAGTATCGAACTCACTTGGACATCGGGTGTTTATAAGACCTCCTCGTGCAACAAAACAAAGATTACAACTTTATCGAAAATAAACACGAGATCCCGTTTTGGTGCGGTCTCGCTTGCGTGGGTCTTTGGCCTGTGACGGGGACGTCAATATCCGTGGACCACCGGGGCAATCAGATCTGATCCGGATAAATCGGACAGAGCTTCGTCAATCCGCGTGAGATCTAGAAACTTCTGATCCAGAAAAATCGGACAGAGCTTCGTCGATCCGTGTGAGATCTAGAAGCTTAAAGCGTCAATCTCGGCTAAAGCGAGATATTAGCTCTTCTTTGTATTAACGCCAAGGGCTAATACTAAGGATCAGACGGGGAATGGGTGATGAAGACTGATGTAGACCTCTCCTCCTCGGTTGAAGCGCTCGACCACTCTTTGCTGCAGCAGGGCTTCGCCAAGGCTCTCCAAAAATCCCCCCTCAAAAGCAAGGCACTAGGGGTCTATTTATAGGCATATAGGAGTGTGTAGGGGGGTCTAGGGGGCCTAGACACCCCCTGGTGTCTCGGCCAGGCCGAGACACCCCTGGGGTGTCTAGGCTTTTCCTAGACACCCCCGGGGTATTTCGACTTGCCGGGACTCCGTTTAGGTGTATTTCGTTGTCTTCCCTGTAGATTCTTCGTCCGAACTCGGATTTGAGTGATTCCGGGTGCGTCAGATGCTTGACGAAGAGTTCGATCCGCTCTGGTGGTTGGATTATCTGTAGAGTGGTCGAGGCACGAAGGGCGTTGTCCTTTTTGTGAACATCGCCGGGTCTCCGATTGGTCCGGGTTTTCGTTGTTCCGAAATCCTGTCTGCTCATGTAGCTCGTCGATTCACTTCAGTCGTTCATCGACGTCGATTGGACTCCTATGGATTGGGTAGTGACGTTCATCGTCGTTCTGTAACACTGAACCGTTTGTGGAGACCTATAGGCAGTTTTTGATGCCTACATCGTCAGCTCTAGGACTGCGTGTCGAGGGAACCTAAAAGCTATTACAAATCACACAAATAGCAGTACAACCAATTTTACGTGGTTCGGCAAATTGCCTACGTCCACGGGGCAAGGAGGGGGAGATCTACTAATAGAGGGAGAGATTACAACTAGGGTTTACAATTACTTTCAATCTAAACCCTCAAACAAACTCTCAAATCCCTCATAAATATCTCTCTACAAAAGGATGCACAAAAGCCTACACACAAAACTCCTCTTGAATTCTGTGTTCTTTTTCTGCAGCAGCCGCCTAAAAAAAACAAATCTCCTGCGCTCCGAAAAGAACTCCCCAGCCGCAAAAATTCCAACGAAACAATCTCCTGCGCCCCCAATAGCTGCACGCTCCGAAAAGAACTCCCCAGCCGCAAAAATTCCAACGAAACAATCTCCTGCGCCCCCAATAGCTGCAGCAAAAAACCTAATAAAATAATGTTTATATAGGGAGCAGTTGGTTCGTGGGCCGGTTTTGTTTCTGTGCACGAAAACAAATCCACGCGGAAACAAACGGCGTTCTTTTCCGCGTGGTAGACCCCACACATCACACCTACATGGTATATTAAACTGGAATCTTGCTGCTGTGCTATTGGACAATTAATACGATTTATGTTTTGAGTTTAAGGAAAAGATATTACGTAATTCTTTTGCATCCTCTTTCATCAAAACTAGTAGTAGTAGAGATCCTATCAAAACTGTCCTCATAGGAGTACGGTAACTGACACCATTGATAGAATAATTAGAATTCGTAAACTAACCTTTTAACCACTTGTAAATAGTATAAATCATCATCTTTCTAGAGAGTATTATAATAGAATCTTTACTCCATTAATACCATTAATACTGTGAGTTTTTTAGCTTACTTTCCACTACAAGGAAAACAAATTTTTTTAACCTTGTGGTCTCGATTGATGCAACGGGTTAGTCATGGCTGCCTAATTAGGAACTATAGTAATTGGTAAAGAATTCTTTTATGTCATAATTGAAATATATGACAGTGAGTCCACCTAGTCCAAAGTTTTAATACGTTGGAGGTCTCAAATTCAGAACCCAACTATTTCCATCATTAAAAAAAGATATTTATGTGTTGCAGTAGTTGTAGCTATCATGTATCCTTATAGATGTCTACCCGATAAGTTCTCATTAACATTTTGTGAAGATAAAACTTTGTTAAATTTCACAAGCTTTTTTCAAACGCAATTTTTCATAAAATTGGAAAAAAAATTAAGGAGGAGATATATAGTACATATTGACAGTCAAAAAGTTGTACCTAGAAAAGATCCTTTTTATTATTTAATTAGGATCAAATATTTGTTCAGAGAGTGAGAGTGATGATAATATGTTTCATCAAAGCAAATCAAGATGGTTAAAGACTTAAAATGGAAGAGTAGTTTAGGAGTCTCATGTGAATGTAGAATATAAGTAAAACTAGAGAAAGAATTTTGTAGGGTAGTTATATGACTCACATTATTTTATGTTAAGAATGTTTATCAATTAAAAAATATATGCAAAATAGTTCATGTAGCGAAAATGATAATATAATGAACGAGTGAATATCTACATGATTTGGATTCTCTCCATGACAAAAAAAGTGGTGAAGAAGCTACTATTTTGATCATAGTCATTAATTTATCTATTGGATGGTTATGATTCATTTTAAATATAACACTCGCAATACACCAATAAATTGAATTCTTTTCTAATTTACACTCAAAAATAAATTATAACCACCCACTTAAAGAAATCAAATATTGTGATGAAGTAATGATCTTTCCAATATTTTTTTAATAGTGGAGAGAATCTAAATCTATATTTACTAAGAGCTAGAATATATTATGAATGCAATAGTAGTAAGCCAGAGGTTGACCCTACAGAGGATGAAGTGAGCGAGAACTATTTCAGAGATGGCTTAATTATGTGCAAAGGTCATTAAATGGAAAAATTAGGTGGAGCAAAAATGTAGTATAACTAATGTAGAAAAAAAAATTAGCGGTGAGCCAAATAGAATTTAAGTAGACACTATTTTAAGTCAACCACGACAACACCTTAGTAGAGGATATAACCTTCAACGTAACTCAATGTAAGAGCAGATCATTCATGTAGTCCAAAATTTTAATAAAAGACTTTAGTTGTTGTATTGACTTTGCTCGTGTACATCATAGTGTTGATCGTAGAATTAACAAACAAAACCTACGGTTTTACAACAGGACACTCTATTTGACAGTATTACATCACAATCAAGTGGGTTAACCTTCACTATTTACATAAGAATCTATTGATCGTCATTGAAAATGAATAACCCCGGCCCGAGCATAAGTTTCCTCGTCTTGTTGAACCTATTTTCACTCAAGTGCCCTTCTTGTTACGTGGCCTTATTTGTTCCTACAAACAAATTATTAACTTAATTCAAATACTTAACAATAATCCAGATCAAATCCCTCTCAACAGCCAACGTACCCACCCTAGAGCCCAGCAGTGTACGGCACCCCAGCAGAAGCTATCCAAGACCCGCCCCCTAAGAAATTCCCAACGGTGAACTTATTCGCATCCGACGAACTCATAACATGATACCCAGGCCACTTAACACGACCCCCAGTCCCAGCTCCAGCCCCACTGTTCATGTACTCCCCATAATACAGCGTGCTCGGCGCAGAGTTTCCATCCCACTCCAGCCACCCAGCTGGATCAATCGCGCCTCCGATTGTTGTCTTCATCACCACCGTCCTTGAGTAGGCCTTCCATGGCCGACCCAGGTACGACCTGGTCGAGCCCAGGTTCTCCGCGGCAGCGATATTACAGTCCTGGATGGAGATGCCAGTATTCTCGTTGGGGTCAGAACGGCCTTGGGCGGTGACTGTGTTTTCTTGGCCCGTTAGGGGTTTTCTGAGGTACATGTTGCAGGACTGGAAGACCGCGACGGCGTCGCCGAAGATGAAGTCGACGGTGCCGTAGATGTCACAGTTCCGGTAAAATTGGCGTTGGGAGTAGACACAGAGGGTGTCTTGGTAGCCTTTGAAGCTGCAGCGGTAGACGACGGAGAGGTCGGAGCGGGAAAGGAGTGCGACGGCTTGTTGTTTCTTTGGACCGGCGGTATTTTCGAATGTTATGTCCTTGGCGATGAATCCTGCTCCAGTCACAACTGCAAAACGAGAACACTTTAATTATTAATGTAAAATTAGTAACGTACTTCAAATATTCTTTTCGAGGATTTTTCAAAACCATCCGCTTTTGAAATTTATTTTCAAAAAATGACCCATTTCAACTTTAATTTCAAAAACCGACCCAGTTGGATAAAACTGGGTCGGTTTTAAAAAAAAAAATTCCTAAACTTCACGGGAGTTGAACTCCCGTGAAGTTTTTTCTCATAACAAAACTTTACGGGAATTCAACTCCCTTGAAATTTAGGATTTTTTTTTTCAAAAACCGATCCAGTTTCAACCAACTGGGTCGGTTTTTAAAATTAAGGTTGAAATGGGTCGTTTTTTGAAAATAAATTTTAAAAGCGGATGGTTTTGAAAATTTGTCCATATTCTTTTTGGTTGTTCCATGCGGTAAACTTTTATTATTCGTTTTTAGAGTTGTATACTATATCTACAATTTTCTATATGTCATTCTCCCATGATATCTATTGCCTTTCAAGAAAGTCATCATCTGTGTTTTTAATAACCAAATTAACCTTCCTCCAATGACCCTCCATAAGTAACTACAATTTTTTCGTCGCATAGAATTAATGAAAAAGTTCGTTGACGTTTTGTAGTTTCTAGAAGAGAACTAACTAAAGTAATCTACAACCCAGCAATCGCTTTCAAACATGTACGATGCCAACACACAACAAAATATATAAATCTATCTCCAAACTGCAAACCTACCAACTGTTGCCGAATTGAAAGTTGTACCATCTTGCACACTCTTACTTCCTGTAATAACAGTAACACCAGCACCATCACCGATCAACATTAGATTATTCATCGACGTCGTGATCTGAACCTTCTCATCGTAAGTTCCGGCTTTGACATGGATCACAAATCTTGAACCCCCACTACTTTGTTTAACAGAAGCTGCAACTGCTTCAGAGATCGTCTTGTAGTTCCCGGAACCATCTTGAGCCACCACGATATTTGCTTTCACCGAAGATGATTGGAGAAGTTTGCGATCAGCTGCGGAGACCCATGAAGGGAATCCATTAGAGAGCAATTTGCGATTGCCAATGGAACTAATGGGCATCAATATCGCCCTGTTAATGGCGAGAGAGTTGCTGAGGGACTCGAATATGTTGTTGGTCATGAACGGTGTAGTTGGCAAATGGAATGATGAGTCGAGTTCCACGAACCCGTTTTTGCAAGTCTCGTGGTTCGCAACCGCACCACTAAGCCACGTTTGTGAATCTTCATGCGATGATGAAGCATCCATCGAGCGGTTGAGTTGGCTAATGGTGTCCTCATAGAGGACCAAGCAGTCGGCCAAGGCGGCCTTTGCTCGCTCATCGAGTGAACTCTGGTCCATGGTTAATGCTAACTGATGGGTCAATGTAACTCGCTCCATGGTTGCTTGGATAACTAAATTGCGAAAATTTAATGCGGCTGCCTTTTGATTGGAGAGTTGAGAACTAATGTTACTCATGAGAGAGGTACAGACTTTAGGGTAGGGTGTTTGGCTTTGATTGGAGAGTTGAGAACTAATGTTACTCATGAGAGAGGTACAGACTTTAGGGTAGGGTGTTTGGCTACATGATAGTATAGGATCAGTTGTTGCAACCCTAAAAGATAAAATAAGACTGAAAACAAAGAGATTTAGTAAAAAAGTTGTAGACATTGTTAAGGACTAGGGTTTTGGATACCAAGCTATCATTCGAGCTTGATAAATGGACGGAGAGGAGGCCCACACCCCCTTTTATAGGACCATGAGGGCTGCAATGGCACGTTACGTACCAAGATTGAAAAGCATTTGTTGTTAGGGTTCCGTGACATGTTGATGTACTTAATTTGGGCTCGTGAATTTGGACAATTAGATAGCTTAATGAATTACGTTATTTCTAAAGGCTGGAAAAAGGTCAAATGGTTTGAAAACGTTAGCCAAGTCTTTAAATATTAACAATTGTAGTTAAACACTCAATTAGAGTATTACATCTTTTGGGACTTCTATTCTCGCAGAATTTCTGGTGGAAGGAATAATTTCATTTGGACGAGAAAACGTAAGTGTTCTAAAGGTGGTAACGTTAATTGACATTTCTGCGGTTGTTGGATTTTAACCGGCGTGAATTGACTTAAGGTGAGGATCGAAATTGGCTAATCAATGTAGGCTTCTGAACAGGATCGGCCAGAGATCAGACCTGAAACTGAGTTAGAAAAACCTGTAACCAAATATTTCTTGGCTGATTTTAGAGAGAACGAACAACAGAGAACGTGTTCTGCAGGAAATTTTTCTTTTTTTTTCACTTCTTCTCATTATAATTGTTTACATATATATAGATTCATAGGGATAAGATTACAACGTGAATCTTCATCCAATAACTAGAAAAACTATCCACTAACTAGTATTCTACTATAACTAGAATTCTATCTAATAACTTGGACTTCAACCAACTGGTTCTGCCAGATTAACCACCTCACATTCTCCCCCTTAATCTGGACGAGATTCTAAATTCCTTTCTCCTAGCAACTCCCGCATCTCGATGAACTTCACCCTTGCTAGTGCCTTCGTGAGAATATCTGCTCGCTGCTCGCTCGTGCTTACGAACTCCACTTTAATCTGTCCTCGCTCAACACACTCACGAATGAAGTGAAAGCGTGTGTCAATATGTTTGCTTCTTCCATGGAAAACCGGATTCTTCATCAAGGCAATCGCGGACTTGTTGTCGACGAAGAGTGTAACCGGCTTGGGCTCACTCCCGATCACCTCGCTGATTAAACTCCTCAGCCACAGGCCTTGGCACGCTGCTGCAGTTGCCGCCATAAATTCTACCTCGCAGGATGATAATGCCACCATCTTCTGCTTCTGTGATGTCCAAGTGACCAGGCTGTCACCTAGATAGAATGCCATGCCGCCTGTGCTGCGCATGTCATCAACGTCTCCCGCAAGATCACTGTCAGTGAATCCCACCAACTCATCATTGTCTCGACCTCGTTTGTACACCAATCCGTAGGACACAGTACCCTTCACGTACCTCAGAATATGCTTGACAGCCTGTCGATGCAAAACTGTAGGGTGCTCCCTGTACCTACTCACAATCCTCACGGCATATGTGATATCGGGTCGGGTGTGAGTTAGGTACCTTAAGCATCCGATGATGTGTCTATACTCTGTCACGTCCACCGGTGTTCCTTCAGAATCCTTTCCAAGCTTTAGCTTTGCTTCCATGGGATATTGGGTCGAGTTACAATCCATCATGCCGAACTGACCCAAAACCTTCTTCGCATAGGACACCTGCCTTAGTGCAATGCAATCATCTCGCTGATCCACCTCGATACCAAGATAATAGGAAAGCAATCCAAGGTCACTCATCTCGAACTCCTTCATCATCTGTTGCTTGAAAAACTTTATCTCATCTGCCCTCGAGCCCGTAACGATCAAGTCATCCACGTACACGCCAACAATGAGTAAATCCCCTCTGTTACTCCTGGTGTATACCGCCTGCTCCTGAGTACATTGTGCAAATCCGATGCCCTTCAAACACTTATCAAGCCGTGTGTTCCACGCCCGAGGTGCTTGGCGTAGACCGTAGAGTGCCTTTGAAAGTTTGTAGACTTCACAACGAACCCTTCAGGTTGAACCACATACACTTCTTCCTGGAGATCACCATTTCGGAATGCCGACTTCACATCCAGATGGTGCACCTCCCACCCGTTCTATGCTGATATAGCGAGGATTATTCTGATGGTATCAAGCCTCGCCACAGGTGCAAACACCTCATCGAAATCCATTCCTTGCTGCTGAACGTAGCCTTTTGCTACAAGTCTTGCCTTGTGCTTGAGAATGTTGCCTTCATTGTCCTTCTTTAGCTTGTACACCCATTTGAGACCAATGAGTTTGGAACCCCGCGGTAACTCTGTGAGTACCCAAGTCTTATTCTTCTCGATGGCCTCCAATTCCTTCTCCATGTCTGTCTGCCATTCTTGATCTGTTGCAGCCTCAATGTAGCTTGCAGGTTCTTCAGAGATCAGGAATAATTCTTCTGCAGGGAGATTAATCACCTCCGTCTCTGCATAGATATCTGCTAGGGACCGATAACGCACAGGTTCATCTGGAGTCATCACTGCGGCTTCAGGGGGTCCGAACATATCCAATACAGTGGGGCTTGCTGCCTCAGCAGCAGTTCTGACAGCAAGTGGTACTGTCCCTGGTTCAGCCTGCCAGACCAGCAAGTGTATGCGGACTGGTTGCTGTAGCTGCTGCCTTGTACGGGCCTGCTGGTGTCCAGCATTGGGTCTTCGTACATCTCAATGCAGCAGTCTGTCTGCAAGCGCTGTTCTGGACCTCCAACCATCTTACGGCCTGGTTTGCGAGCTGCCTAGCAATCTGGTTTGATTCGGCGGCTGTCAGAGTTGCGCGCGTCGAAATGTGCCGGTTGTTGGGTCGGTTACTGCAGACTCCCCTTCCACTGTTAACTCTGCCAAGCTAGGTGCTCTTTCGTCTCCATTTGTGCTCCAATCCCATTCTCTTCCTTCCTAGAACGCGACGTCTCTGCTGACACGTATTTTGCCGTGTTGAGGGTCGTAAAGGCGATGCGCTTTGCTTCCTTCCTCTACCCTAATATACACCATTGGCGTGCTCCGGTCGTCGAGTTTCTTATGAGAAGGACCTGCAATTTTCACATGCGCCACACATCCGAAAACTCTCAAGTGTTCTAGGTGGGGTTTCTTACCAAACCAAGCTTCGTAAGGTGTGTGGTCGTACAACGCCTTGGTTGGTAGTCGGTTGAGAATGTACACCGCATGCCTGACCGCTTCACCCCACATTGTTCCAGGCATATGCATGCTTTTAAGTAAGCTTCTCGCCATGTCCATCACCGTGCGGTTACGCCTCTCCACTACACTGTTTTGCTACGGGGTGTACGGTACAGTGAGATGACGCTTGATGCCGTAGTCTTCACATAACTTGGTGAACTCCTTTGACAAAAACTCGCCACCACGATCCGTCCTCAATGTCTTCACCTTGTGGTCACATGCGTTCTCAACCTCTGTTTTGAACTTTTTGAAGGTTTCACAAGCTTGACTCTTGACCTTCAACATGTATACCCACATCCATCGGCTGAAATCATCAACAACAAGAAGGAAGTATCTGTTACCAGCAAGTGTAGATAGGGTGATAGGGCCACATAGGTCAGCATGTAGTAACTCCAGCGGCTTCTGAGCTCTGAAGTTTGCTTGCGAAGGGAACGGCAGTCTTGCTTGCTTGGCGACGAGGCATCCTTCGCATAGTTGATTCGGGTGCAAGATCTTCGGTAACCCGGAAGCCATCCTCTTATCAGTCATCATCTTGAGGGCGAAGAAATTGACATGCCCAAGGCGAGCATGCCATAACCAAGCTGGATCGTTAATGTTCGCCATCAAACACGCCGGCCTGCAAGTCTTTAACTCTATCTTGTACAATTGGTTAGTTGAACGTGTTACCCTCATCAAGAGAGCACCGTTCCTATCAAACACCATCAGGAACTCATCAGCAATAACAACCTTACTCCCATCTTCAGTCATCTGACCAAGACTAATAATGTTAGATTTCAAGCTCGGAATATAATATATCTCAGGTAGTAGCCTTTGATCGCCATTGTCGCACTGAAAAATAATAGAGCCTTTCCCATTGATTTCTACTGCGGATCCATCACCAAACTTGACGGTTCCGGTGATGTTCTCATCGAGCTCCTTGAACTTGCCTCGGTGGCCGGTCATGTGATTGCTAGCTCCGTTGTCAAGGTACCAAACGTCGTTGGCAACTTGTGCCTCCCCCGCTGTGAGTAAGTTTGGCACCACCTTCTCCTCATTGAGTAGGATGACAGTTGATGATTCCTCTAAAACAGCCATCATCAAGGTTGGCACCTCGTCATATGCACGGGTGAGATGAGCCTCCTGTTCATGATTGCGGCGTTGCTTGTGACACTTCGACTGAAAGTGCCCGTATACTCCGCATTTGAAGCATTTGATGTTGGATTTGTCTCGACCACCGCTTGTGCTACTCTCCCCCTCCTGGCGAGCTGCACCTCCATGGCCGAAACCACCTCCTGGACGTCCTCCTCTGCCGCCGAAGCCGCCTCGGCCTGCCTGGCCGCCGTGCTCCCCTCCGCGGCCTGCATGGGCAGCGTGGTGCTGCTGCCCACCACGGCCTGCCTGGCCGCGGCCACGCCCACGTCCTGCTCCGTGTGCACGATCTCGTCCATTGCCGTCACTAATCGCCTGTGTGGAGAAGGTGTTTCCGCTGCTCTTCTTGTCCCTTGCTTGCCACTCCGCATGCGTCAACAATAGGTGATCGTTGACGTTGTTTCAAAAAACACGTGCCCTCTCCTCGTGGGCTTTGAGACGCCCGATCGCCTCCTCGAGTGTCATGTTGTTGATGTCCCCGAACTGTTCAATCGTGGAGACGATAGTAAGGAATCTCTCCGGTACCTCCCGAAGTAGCTTTCTGACGACATAGTTCTCCTGCATCTCGCC